GATATGGAAAAAAATGATGAAACCAGTCTTTATAGCCTCTGCCATGATGCAAACATCTTCTGTGGGAGATGACTTTTACATATAATAACTTTAAAGTGTGATTAAAAGAAAACATCAATAAATGAATCCATAATCAATATGGATTCAACAATATCCAACACTTGACGGCACTGATATGCGGTCTTATATTCTGCATCCTAGACTTTTACAATTGGAATCGTCTGTGCTGATTCTGTTGGAGGATTCGGTCACCATGTGAATTTTGAGTACAGATGGTTCCTGACTTGAAAGGTTTGGCTTATGACTTTTCAACTTTTTGATTATGCAAAAGTGATGTACATTCAGAAGAAGCCACACTTTAAATTTTGAATTTTGATCTTTCCCCATAATAACAGTGTTACATAAATACTCTTACCTGGTGCTAAAAGGCAGAAGTAGTGAGTCATGGCGACCATGAGGGTAAACAACCAGTATTTTACAGGGTACTATGTCGGTAAACGCTGTTTGGTAAGATTGGTGTATTTAGTGCATTTTGACTTAACAACGTTTTAAATTTACACGAGTTTATCAAGATGTAACTTAATCATGTGTCGAGAAGCATCTATACTTAAATTTCAGTCTTATGGTCAAAGCTCAAGACATTTAACCAAGATTAATTTAAGCTTGTGCTAAGAATTCATTATAATTCCCAGGTATGAGGTCTTTAGTTATATTTACATGATGCTTCACAACTTTCCCCTGGTTAGTTAGAATGTTAACTTAGTAAATATACAAACAGTTCTTTTAAGGAGTAATCCATAAATTTACATTTCAGGTTTTTTTACATATGTAGGCTCTCTGAACTCTAACTAAAAGGACAAATTTTTTCAACAATATTTAAAAATTAATGAGATAGTTTATGAATTTCCACTTGTCATCATATCTCTCTTTTTACAGCAGATGACTATTTTGAAGAAATTTTCACTATTCATATGAGACTAAATGAAGATGATTACTTATTTAGTTATTGTCGACTAGATGACATTAATGTTTTCTATCAATGCCTACATAAATAAATTAAAAGTAACAGAAATTATGCATGAGACATAAAGATTGATGTTTGATATTTATAGAGAAACATTTCAAAAATCTGTTGTGAATTTGAAGAGATTTATTGTTATGTGCCTTTCTTAAATTATTAAACTAATTATAAGCAATGTAATTTCCAATTTATGTATATTACATGATGAATTCTAGTAAAATATATAGAAATATTTTTTCAAGTAATAATTCCCTTTGTTTAGGATACCTTATTACTATTTTAAGGATTATGAAGTCAAATGCATTATAGTTCAGAAGGAAGAATGTTATTATTTTTTTCTTTACAAGAATGTAAGTATGTAAAAGGAAGATCTATTTGTCTCTTGAACAAATAACCCTGTCTTTATGTCAGGCACAAAACAGGAGAAACTAAATCTAATTGGTTTATTGCCTATATTTGTTGATTTTAAAACAAATAAAGCTAAAGAACTTAAGAATTCTACATGATAAGATGTAAGAGTATAATTAGGATAGAAAAAGATTATACCTCAGAACTCAAAGGGAAGCAATACTCTATTAATTAGGATGAGGTCTGCACTTAATAAAAACTTAGTTTTACACCCTAAATTATTTCTACCCTTTACTATGTTATGCTATTTTTAAAAAGAACTGTTTTACTTCTCTTTTAGTTCATTCCTTTGCAAATTCAAAGACTAACTTCTGTATAGATTTGTTTGAGGATTAAATTAAATGTATATTTACATTATTTAGGGGCAAGGTTGTCTTGGAATATTCAGGCTGCTGTACCAAAATATTTCAGGCTGGGAAACTGTATAAACAATAGAAATTTCTTATAGTTCTGAACATGGATGTAAACATCCTTAATAGAATACTAACAAACTCAGTCCAATGGTTCATTCAAAGTATTATTCACCATGATCAAATACCCAGGGCACAGGGATGGTTCAACATCCATAAATCAATAAATATGACATACCACATTAACAGAACAAAGGGTGAAAATATATGATAATCTCAATAGATGCAGAAAAAGCATTTGATAAAATTTGGCATCACTTCATGATAAAATCACTGAACAAATTAAGTGTACAAGAAACATGCCTCAGAATAATAAGGCCATTTATTATAAGTCAACAATTAACATGATACTGAGTGGGAGAAAGCAAAAGTTTTCTTTCAAAGTCTGAAATTAGACAAATATGTCCACTTTCACTCAAGATTACACTAGAAGTCTCAGCCAGAGAAATCAGGCAAGAGAAAGAAATAAAGGACATTCAAATGGAAAAAAAGGAAGTCAATCTGTCACTGCAGATGACAGGACCTAATATAAAGAAAAACAAATATTCCGCCAAAAATATTAGAAATAATAAACAAATTCAGCAATGTTACAATACACAAAATCAACATACAAAAATCAATAGCATTGCTATATAATAATAGCAACTGTAAGTCAATAAATCATTCTTATTCACAATAGCTATGAAAAAATACCTGGAATAAATTTTAAAATAAAGCCAAAATATACCTACAATTAAAACTAAAAAAATGTTAATGAAAGAAACTGAAGAGGACCAAACACAAACCAACAAAAAATGGAATGATGTGTCATATTCATGAGTTGTAACAGTCAACTGTGAAAACATCCATACCATCCAAAGCCATTATCTGATTCAATGCAAACCATGTCAAAATGTCAATGCCTTTTTCACAGATCTAGAAAAGATCCTAAAATTTGATAAAACTACCCCCACACACAATATGTAAACAGCCAAAGCCATCTCAAACAAGAATATTACTTCAGAACAGATTACAAAGCCATAGCAATCAAAACAGCATGGTACTAGGATAAACATAGACACACAGACCATGTAACAGAATAGAAAACTAAGAAGTTATTTATCTGTAGCCAATTTATTTTCAATGAAGGTGCTAAAATATACATTAGAGAAAGGGCAGTCTTTTCAGTAAATGATTAGTTTCTCTTATATGAGAAACCCCAAATATAAATAAAGACCAAAATAAAAGACAGATAATAGGAAATAGGGAGACAGATCCTTTGCAAAAGGGAAGGGGAACCAAAATATTGGGGGGGGGGTACATAAGAGAGGGGAAAGGAATGAAAAAAGGATTTAGGTGTGTTATGTATGTGTATCAACCTCCCAGGAGGAATGTACTACAAACATGCACCAATAAAACTAAATTTTAAAAATATAATGATACATGGCAAATTTGGTATATACATGGAGAAGAATGTCACTAGAACCTTATGTCTAACCAGTCATAAAAATCAATTCAAAATGGAAAACACTTAGATGTAAGCTCCCAAACAATGACACCACTAGAAGAAAAGGCCATAAATGCTTCAAGATAATAGAATAAATAGTAGGAAATTTTTGTAGAAGAAACAAAAGCAAACAGAGAGATGGTAATGCATCAAACTAAAAAGCTTCTGTTCAGTAAAGGAAACAGTCACCAAAGTGAAGAGACATCCTACAATGGGAGAAAATACTTGAAAATTATATAACTGATAAGATGTTAATACCCAGAATATATAAGACACTCAAAAACCTCAATGGCAAAGCAGTGATCCAATTTATAAACGGGTAACAGATTTTAAAAGACCTTTATCAAAAGAAGACATGCAGGCCGGGGATTTAGCTCAGTGGTTGCACTGCCTGCTGCACAAGCACAAGGACCCAAGTTCAATCCCCCAAAAAGAAAAAAGAAGACATACAAATGGCTAAAAGGTATAAAATATTTTCAACATCAATAAACACCAGAGAAATGTGAATCAAAACAATGGTGAGATACCCTTTCATTCCACTGAAAATGGCTGTTATCAAAAAGTCAAAAGATAATGAGTGTTATTGAAGATGTGAAGAAAAAGGAACTCTTGCAATGTATTGAGAATGTAAATTAGTACAGCCATTGGGGTAAATAGCATAAAGGTCCCACAAAAAATTAAAATAAAAAGAAGTCAAATGGAAATCAAAAGTACTTTATCAGAGTTCCACCTCTTTACGTGTAGGTGTTATTCAATAATTTAATGGCTCACATTTTTCTTGTTTTTAACTGTTTAGTCTATTTGTATATAAAAATGAAAATTTGGTGGAAATGTTTGTACATCAAAATTTCATGGAAATTTCAGATACAACTGCTTTTCTGGAGCTTGTACATTCAAGAATGATTAATCTATGTAAAAAATGATTAATACAGTCATTACATATAAAAAAATGAATACAGAAAAACCATATCATCAGCAATTCCACTTTGGATATATGTCCAAAGAAAATGAAATCAATATGTGGAAGAGACATCTCCAGTTCCATGTTTATTGCAGCACTATTCAAAATAGCCAAAAATAGAAACAAACAAAGTGTCCATTGGATGATGAAGACATAAAAAATTAGTACATACACCCAATGAGATATTATTCAGTGACAAAAAAAGAAATTCTGCCATTTGCAACATGGATGAACACAAAAGACGTTATGTTAAATGATATAAGCCAGGCACAGAAAGACATGACCTCACTTATATTTGGAATCTTAAAAAATTGAACTCACAGAAATAGACAAAAAAATGGTGATACAAGAATGTGGGGTAAATGGTTGGTATATGTTGGTTAAAAGATAAAAACTTAGTTTGATAAGAGGAATAAATTCAGGAGATCTATTCTACAGCATGGTAACTATATTTGGTGATGTAATATTTTATTTTCAAAAAGTGTTGAGAATATATATAAAGGATTCTAGCCACAAAAATCTATGATAACTATACGAAATAATGCATACAGTAATTAGCTAGCTTTAACAGCTCCATAATGTACATATACTTCAAAACATGATGTTGTCTACAATAAATACCTGCAATTTTATCAGACAATTTAAAAAGAAATACATTTGAAAATTTGAAGAACAAATTACACAATTACAGAGTAAACAGAGTTGTATACTTACCGATACATGTAGGTAAGGAATCATTCCACTGGGCCAAAGAATTAGGCACTGTATCACACCTAATTGCTATGGATCCATGGAGAATATATCCTGGATTACATTCAAAAAGAACCAACGAACCAACTGCAAATTCATTGCCAATTCTTTTTCCAAATCTTGGTTCAGGCACGGAACTGCATTGTGTAGAGCTCGTTCTAGGAACAGCTGTGTAGAAATAATTGTTAGTTTTAATTTCCTATTTATTATGTAACCACAGATTTCAAAATGTAACTAATAAGGTTTCAAAGAAATTCACTTTTTGCCAGAATCTGAATTAATAATTTGAATACAATTCTAAAAGTTTTAAATCTCATACAAACCAAAATACAATTTTAAAAGATTACTGCCATTGTCATCAAGATTTTTTAATAGAAATGTTTTACTTTTAAATCTATAAACAATATCAATTAATTTTTCTATATTTTTTACCAAAATCTTACTAATACACAAAGTAATTTTAGTTAGATATAGCCACTATGGGATCAATATTCAATTTTTTAGAACTTGAGATACTATGTTAAAATCATATGTGTCAGGGTATATAAAATAATTTTACATTTTTTTTCAGTATTTAGACCTTAACAACATAATTTGAAGAAAGTAAACAATTTATTTCATAGCATATTTACAAACTTAGTTTTCAAAACATGTTTGTTACTGATGACAATAATTACATTCAAAGTAAAGTATAAGACAGATTAACAACAATAAAATTTTTATTTTTACTAATCATAAAATATCAAATTTGAAATTACTTTTTAAATTTTGTATGTTCTTCAATTGTGCCTTTTCAATTTAGTTAAATAGAATGATAACAGGATGTTTTTTCTTTTTAAAACTCATACAAATGTGATTAAAGAGATTGACAACAGCCAAAAAAAGATACAATGAATTCCAAATTGATGAATTTCTTTTATGAGATTTGAGTAAGTGTAAGAAAAAATTTACAGTGCCTTTTAAAATTCATAATAGCATAAATTGTTTATAGGGGAAAGTGCTACTGAAAAGAAAACAGTGTAATATTGCATGGAACTGATCAAAGGAGTAAGGAAGTTTAATAAGAATATAAAATCACAAAGGTTTATACATTTCTTGAGTATAAAATTCAAGGTACATTTGAGAAGAACTGCCATATGATTACATAATTCAAATAAAATAGTTCAAACAATTGCTCTTACTGAATAATAATGTGACAAACTATAAAAAGCAAAATAAACTTCTAATTGTGCAAAATCTTTAATAACTATGAGGGAAGTTTCAATTCTCCTGAGATAATAAGAAAGTACAATTTTAGAATGAAGCAATGATTTCTTTGGGATATATAAATATATCAAAATAAGAATCGGTACAGTTTTAATTTAGAGTGCTAGACTATGAGGAAAATAGAAAATACAGAGTGAAGAATTGTCAGAAAAACACAGATGTTTTGAAAACAGTATGTTGGAAAGGAAGAAAATTCATCTACATTGACGATGATGGAAGCAATATATCATTTTTTACTTTGGTTAAAGCAACAATGTTCTAGCGACGGGGAGGAAGGACACAGAACTTGTATCCCTCCTCTACGGTAATGAGGTTTGCGTTGTTCAATAACTGAACAAAGCATGGAAACTGATATCATTCCTTAGTGTGCTGCTAGACTACGGGGCCACTTACCTTGGTAAACAAAGTGAAATCCCTTAGCTGTTATTGGTCCAACTGAAGTAAATCGAATTGTGATCTGATTACCTGAACTCAGTGGAAGTGATTCTCCTACTCAACAAAACAAACACTAAGATATCATAAATAATTTTCATTCAGTAATCCTAACAAATTATATTATCTAACAGTCTCATTTGACAATGGCAATCTATGTTCCATCAAATTACTTTAATATATCCTGCAGCTAACGATATATTTTCTTTGGGTTTCGTTTAATTGCAATCTTTTTACCAGAAGGTTTCAATTACATACTCATATACACTGTCTCATCCTTCAAAGAATCCATCCTTAAATATTTTATATCACATTAAATACCCCAGATTGTGATTAAATATTATATTTACTTGATTACAATCCCAGAACATAGTCAGTTATGTTTTTCTCTAGCTTCTGAGTTACTGGTAAATTGTGCTTCTCTTCTTCAAAAAAAGAAAGTCTATTTTCAGTTTACTTTACTTCCAGTATTGATGACATAAATCTCAACTTTCTCTACAATACTAGTAAGTCAGGCTTTAATCAATAACTGATGCATGGCAGATCTATGAAAGGATACCTGAGTGGGATCCTGAGAGGGAAGATAACAGAGGAGATTGCTGAGTTGGCCCATCATACACCTCAACAACATCGTGGAGCGATGTCTGGAAAAATACAAACTGGCCAAACACCACTGATCAACAGGAACCAGGAGAAGCAAACAAATCACCAACCAGCCAAGAGCAGAAACAAAAATAAAAAAAAAATAGAAAGAGGAGGAGAGAGAGAACAAAGTATTACAATATCATAGTCATTTGTTTTTAAAACTATCTTTAAAAAAAGATAGGTGCCAATTGGTTGATATTCCTGACACATGGAATTCAGGTCATAAAAGTAATGACCATGATCTAAAGGGTATACAATTTTAAAAAGGGTATTTAAAAAAATAAATGGTGATAGCATTTAATACAGACTAAGAATCATAAGGTTGTGGTGGTTAAATACTTTATGGTAACCATTTGGATTTTTCCTGGTGGTAGTTTGATTCTTTTCACTTTGTGACTCTCTTCTCTTTTTCTAATTTTTTTCCTCCTCCTTTAGATGAGATAGATGAGGTTTTAAATCCAGGGATTTTTTTCAGATTATTCTAATAATAGTTTCATTAGAAAAATATCAACTTGATATGGTTCAGGGATAGTTTTCAATTTACATTCTAAACATTCCTAAACATTTACTGCCTATCTTGTCAAACTAAAAGTTATGGCTCCCCAATAATTGAAATGTTATGAAACTTTTAAAAATTACTTGCTCGTGGTAAATTACCTTCTCACAGATCTGGAAGTACTCATCCAAAGACCTTTATAGTGACATCTTTCTTTCATTTTGTACTTATCTTTAATTGTACATTAGGTTTCCATGCAGAATCCACCCAAATTTTAACTTTATAGGAAGAACTCATCCAGAGCAGAAATCAACTTGTGTTTATTATAAAAAATACAATGGATAACAAATCATTTTTAAAACATTTCATTGAATAAAAACTTTGTGGGACTTAACAATATATGGATTAAAATTTTTAAAAATAATTTATGAGGATAACTTTCAAAAATTCAGAACCACATGAAATCAAATTACTTATTGTGTGAATATAAACATACACATTTTTAAACTTCTGACTCATATTTTACACCTCAAATCAAGTTTACTAACATCCTGTGGTGGTTCCTCTGCAAACAGTGTAGGCTGCTTGTGACATGCTGAGTTTTGGGAATGAACACAGGGATATACATAATAGTACACACAAAGCTACACTGATTTTTTGGCCTGCAAAAATAAGCTGGTGATCCCAGTCCAGTTCTTTGTCCAGTAAAAGAAAATGATGACACCCAGATAAAGTATCATTACTTTAAATAATTCCTGAATACCAAATTGCTTAGTCTTGTAAATGATCTTTGTTAAAATATTTCCTAGAAGTCATGAAAACAAATTTATATGTCTACCAAACCAGATACATGCAGTGAATTGTTTTAATCATTTACATACAATATAACAATTTCAGGGGATTAGATCTTTTTAAAATATCCTGAGTTAGAGGCAACAAATTCAATCTATTTTTAAAATGCACCCCAAAAGTGAGAAAAGTTTGTTTTCAGTTTTTGCATTATTGGTGTTTGGGCTATTTGTTTTCAAATGTATCTTTAAAATTTTCTATTATAATGCAGATGTGAGCATACCTTTACTAAGTGCCAAAATAAATTACAGCAAAACCTTATTATAGCAACTACACTATGCAGTAAAGCATAACTTACTCTTTCTTTAATCATTTTGGAAAGTCATTAAATAAAGTAAAATTCAACTTTCTTTAATTTTCTGCCTAAATCTCTCAAGTATACCATGAAAAGACATGCTCATTTCAATGTAAGCCACTGCATTTACTGATATCCAAAACAAACCAAATGCATTTATGCAGGAGCTTTTTCAGATAAAAAAAAAAAAAAGACAAAAACTGATTTTTTTTCTTGTCTTTAGGACTCTTCACAAATTATTATCTGCAAATTGAAAGTGTTCAGACCATAACTGTTAATGATACAGCCATTAATTTTATATTTTTGCATCTTGTCAAGTAAATAAAGCCGTAGAATATGCTCTTTTGCACATTGCCAGTAGTTTAAGTTTGTAATTTGTTGTAATAATCCTGAGATGAGAGTAGTGAGAGTAGAAACAGGCAGAAGGTGGGAGAGTGAAGTGTTGAATCTTGCCCTATTTAACCAGGGAGTATACTATTTTAACTATAATTTAACTCTTCATTAATATGGGGAATTGAAAATTTAAATTAGAAACAGCTTTTATTAGAAAAAGTTGCACGACAAGGATGTTACATTTTCATACCAAATATAAATTATAAGTATGTGTAATAAGATTTTATAGCATGCAGAATCAAGAACACTTGCATAGTGGCCTGATTTCCTATGTATTATTAGATTATTAGTTTATTACTAAACTAATATGTTTGTAATCCCATCTTCTCCCTCAGAAATTTTAAGAATTACATATAAACTCCCTTGTTGCCACATTGTCTTTAATTGTTTTAATTTATTTCAAAGCAGTAAGTCTTTTCTTACACAGTGTTGGGAATGGCCAAAGATACAATGTAGAGAAAATCTGACAGATTTAATAGGGACTTAAAGTTGACTGATTTTATTTCTTTTATTAATTTGTTTTTTTGTAAGAGGTTGTCTACCACACTGGGTCATGTGTTCATGAGGGCTATGGTATAATGCAATGATTTTTGTCTAGTAAGCAGACTTATTTTGCATTCACTTGCAGAATGTCTCTATCTCTCTATCTCTCTATCTATCTCTCTATCTATCTACCTATCTAATCTATTCACCAAGCTCTCTGTCTAATTCATCTGTCACTGTTGTGGTTGGAAACTAAAATGCCCCCCAAAGACCTTATCTAAAGGACTAGATGGTCAACTGCTGGTTTGGGGAAGTGGTTGGATAGAGAGGGCTCTGACCTCATCAATGGACTGATCCACTTCAGAGTGCTAGCTCAATGGGTCTGATAGGAGGTGGGCCTAATTTGATGAGGCATGTCACTCCCAGGGGCGTGGCCACAAGGTAGGTGAGCTCCACTATGCCCTTTGACTATGACATTCTCCCTCACTGCAGGCCCAGAAAAAACTAAACCCAGTGGATCATGGACCAAAAGCCCTGCAACCATGAACCAAAATAAATCCTGCTTCCTAGAACTTGTTATTCTCAGATATTTTGTCAGAGAAATGGAAATCTAACACAACTATCTACAATGTGGTTATTTGGAAGCTGGGTGTGGTGGTCCACACCTATAATCCCAGCATTCAGGAGGCTGAGACAGGAGGACCCCAGAGAGAGGGAGGCCAGCCTACAGTACACAGTTGGGGCCAGTCTGAACTACGTAGAGAGAGACCCTGTCTCAAAAAACAAAAAACAAAAAAAAACTGGTTATTTGAATTCTCTTTGGACCATTGCAATCTTACTGTGTACCATTTTACTTAACTGGAAGTTAAACAGAATGTTTAGCATGTGGATATTTTGTGTTTGTGTAAGAAAATCATGATTATGTCTTCTTTTTAAAAACTAACCTTTCACATTGATCTGCATTCTGATACATCAAGGTAATGGCCAGGCCATCCTATTATTTTAACAACTAGATTTGACCTCATATATCTGGTCTGATTATGTCTTTTAGCATATTTAGCTACCATTCTTCTGTTTCTTGCTTTACAAGCAGAGATAAAGCATTCTCTCCACCTTAACTTCAAGTTCCTTCTCTTTCTCTGAAGATATGCATTTAGATTTTAAAAGCACTTTGCTCTCAAGTATAACAGTAGACTTTAAACACCAAGTAGTTTCTTAGGGGAAGCACCATTTTAAGTGATTATTTCCCTTCTTAAACATAATAGACGCTAAAGATACTATTTTTAACTTTTGCTAAAAAATCAATTTTCCAAAAAGTCTATGTGGTACAAGAAGCCATAAAAGGAGGAAAAGAGAACCCACCAAGATAAAAGGAAACATGCAAAATGTCCCTACCTCTACAAATAATCTATTTTTATACATGAAACAATTTCTGAGCCTTTTATTTTTCATACATTTTATTCTAGAAGAGACTTTATTAATTCAAAATGTTAGATGATTTTATTGTATGATATATGAGTAACAGTTAAATGTTGGGAGTTAAAAAGGTAACTATATTTGTGTTTATTGAAGTTACAGCTTATCTTTATTGTACTCATAAAAAGGCATTAAATTTACCAATCCAATTGATTCTGAACCAACAACCAGGCACTTGGGGTATATCTTTCTATGCAGATTATTGATATCTTAGTTGTTTAAACCCATTGTTCAATGCAAGTCTTTATGGGCAATGTTCCGGGATATTCTAACCTGTGTTTTCAGGAAATCTATAATTTTGACTTTTAAAATATCACTTAAATGCCTTCTTAAAGTATACAGAGAAAAATTTTAACTTAGATAATATTGATAGAAAGCTTATCCGAAATTTAAAATTTTGTATTAGTTCATTTGCCCACTAGAAGCAAGCAAAGTCAGAGTGACATAAAGCATTGTGTCTATCTACTCTTCTTTGTAGAAAAACCAGTTTATTTTATATCTTAATTTTTATATCATGTCCAGTCAATATAGAGAAGAAGGATTCCACTTGTGAGGAAGGTTTGCATGGTGTAAGTTTTCACACGACTAAGTGTGTTTTTTTTTGGTACCAGGGATTGAACTCAGGACCTTATGCTTGCGAGGCAGGCGCCGGAACCACTGACCTAAATCCCCAGCCCCATATGACTAAGTTTTAATAACTATTTTTTCGTATTCTACATCAAACCCTGTGAAACACATTTTCTTTTGGTTTAATTCATCCAACTCTTAAGCCTTTGTCCCTTGACTTAATCCAACCATCCTAAAGACAAATCAATAAGCGATGACAGAGTGCTTTGGAAGGCGTAACAAAACTCCTGAGCATGAGCACAGCCAGACTGTAGGATGGTCAATACCGACCCACAGCCCCTCCAAGAGTGTCATTATGTTAAACAGTACAGGGCACAGGGGTTACCAGGAGTGCAGCACACTGTACCAAGATGGGCGCGTGCCTGTAAGTTTGTACAGTTCTTTAGCATACAAATACACAAGAATTTAA